GGAGGTGGGATGGTGCTGCTGACACAGAGACATGCATGCCTGGCTGGATGGGAAGGTGCTGAGGGAGAGGAGGGGGCAGAGGCTGAGCTGTTCCGTGGGGCGGGGGCTGAGTCTGGGGTTGGGGGTAGGGTCGTACCACTACCGTCTCCTGCTTGTCATCTCTGAACGCTATGGTTCCGCTGGACATCAGCTCACGTTGAGCATGATTTGAGTCTTCATGTCCTCCTTAAAGGAACCACATTAAGTCAGTTGATGGTGTAAACTGTTCAATGACATATAAACATATATGGAAGATAAATTCAAGACTGTCTGTTTATAATCATCTAAATGAGCACAACATTTCCAAAGCTTGTTGTCATCTACATTTGATATGCATTAACACCAGGGTTTTTAACCAGGTGTCTATTTCCAACTACACCACCTTTCAAAAGTTTGGGGTGTGTAAGGACATTTTTTTTTTTAATTAATACTTATATTTAGCAAGGATGCATTAAGTAGATCAAAAGTGACAGCAAAGACATTAATAATGTTATAAAGGATTTCAATTTCAAATAAATGCTGTTCTTTTGAACTTTATTTATCAAAGTATTCTAGTTCCCACAGAAACATTAAGCAGCACTGACATTGATAATAATAAGAAATGTTTCTTAAGCACCAAATTTTAATACACATTTTAAATGTTAATAATATATTTTAATTTTGTAACTGTATTTTTGATCAAATAAATGCAGCCTTGGTGGGGATAAGAGTTATCTTTCTAAAACATTTTTAAAAATCCTACTGACCCTAAACATTGAACAATACTGTTGTAACAGATCCAGTAAGCCAGGGTTCGGCAAGTAAGTTTGGCATTGTGCCAACAAAATTTTTGCCACTAGATGGCGGGCCAGAATATAGTCAAAGGATAATTTAAGAAATTAATTTATGAAAAATGCAACTAGAATTGCCTGTGACAGACTGTTACAGTGTCTTTTATAACTGGCAGTGAGCTGTTACTCTGTGTTAAAGGGGTCATATGATGCGATTTCAATTTTTCCTTTCTCTTTGGAGTGTTACAAGCTCTTGGTGCATAAAGAAGATCTGTAAAGTTGCAAAGACTAAAGTCTCAAATCCAAAACCACATGATAAGCTAATAACATGGTTGTCAGCATTAAATGGGTCATATGACGTTGCTAAAAAGAACATTATTTTGTGTCGGCGCGACGACACAAAACCAATAAAACCCATTACAAAAGAGGCATTTGTTGCATCCAGTGGGGACATAATTACTGATTATAATGCTAAACTTGTACTGTCTTTTTACGCGTTGCGTGGCATCTCGCGGCGCGTAAACATAAAACCATGTTGTGATTGGAGAAACGACAAACAACAAGTGTTACTCTACACTGCTCAAAACTCGTGTTTGAATCGCACTCCAAAGAGAAAGGAAAACGTGAAATCACATCATATGACCCCTTTAAAAAGGCATAATTGCTGCTTTTCGCGGTGCAAATTTTGTTTGTGATGAAAATACAGTACGTTTTCGTCAGTTATTTTACCTACGGATCGATGCATTTCTTACAGATTTCTGCTAATTCGAAATCGGATACAGATGAAGTAACACTGTAAGATTACATTTGTTTGAATGCATTATTGAGAATATGTGTTGTACCTGTTATTAGTAGTAAATCTCCAGCACGTGCTTTCAGATGGAGCGGCATTTACTACACAGAGCCGTATAGTGTATGCCGGAAAGTAGCACTCGACGATAAAGCGCGACAATAAGCACAACTCTGCCTCTTTTTGTTAAATGTCAGTTTTAATGAACAATAATAGCCATTATAAAATTATAAGTATAAGAGGCTTATATTAGAGGAAATAAAGACAAAAGCAAACAATTCAGTCAAACGTAGGCCTATGCTACAAAGTAAGCACTATACTACAGTAAAGTTCAAAATAAATATATAAAGTTAAACATAACTTTGTGCTCAGCCAAAACGATATGACCTGGAACAAATAATAGATTCATGAGACCACGAATGCCTGTTAAATATAGCCTACTCTAAACTAATTGTATCTCATGTTTAATCACTACAGAGACATCAGAGCCAGCGGCAAATGTCGGAAGGACTAGCCGAGCTAAGAATTCTAGTCAACCAATTAACGTTCTGTGATGAGTTTATCTCCACCCTTTTGGTACCCTTTGCTGTGCTAGGTACCCCAACGGAAGGGTACCAAAAAAGTGGTACGGTTTGCTATTTTGGTACCATTCACAACTTCTAACAGTGGAAACGTAAATAATTGCGTACCGTACTGTACCGCTCAGTGGAAACGAGCCATAAGAGACCTTTTTAATATGTTTTTTAAAATTTACGTTTTAAAACCTCGATCATTAAGCACCAGATAATAACTAGCGAATCTATCCCAGTACGTAAAAGAGCATATTTCTTTCCAGTCAATAAGCAGAACTTCATTGATGCAGAAGTCAAAGCCATGCTGATTAAAACTATAATACAGCCATTTACATCCCATGGGCTGCTCCAGTAGTGCTAGTGCCCAAGAATGATGGAGGAATGCATTTCTGTATCGAGCACTGAATGCTAAAACTCCATTGGATGGCTTTCCCATGCCTCAGATACAAGATATCTTAAAGTCTGTCTATGGAGCTACAGTATTCAGTACCGAAAAACCTTAGGAGTGGATACTGACAAGTGGCAATGGACAAGAGTAGTACCCAGAAGACTACTTTTGTTACCAAGTACAACCAGTATGAGTTTGTTTGTCTACCATTTGGGTTGAAAATGCTGGAGCAACATTCCGAAGTCTGATGAATAAAGTTCTGCAAGATCTTATAGTCAAATGCTGTTTTGTGTACATAGACGGCATTGTCGTATACTCCAGAGAGATCCAGCAACACTTCTAGGATCAAAAGAAGGTGTTTGCTGCATTGAAATCAGCTGGCCTAACACTTAACCTTAAGAAGTGTAAATTGGTGTAGCATCTGGACCAATCAAACACACAATTTTTCATTTGATTTAACAAATCAGTTATTCATTAGATTAACAAATCGTCACAGACCCCTCACCCAATAAACTGGGTGCCAGGATGTCTGGAAACGACACCAGGCCCCCCCTGGTCCCCATGGCAACTAATGCTGATATCACTGGTTTTATGGCCCAAAGGAATGTGAGTAGCGAAAATCACTACCTTTTCCATAGGAAGAGACACAATGCACAGTAGAAATGGACTCTTCTCTAATTAATCCATAGGAAAACCTTTCTTTGAATGAACACACATATCCTTCAGGTCATTGTGTATGTTGTCTTTGATATTTTATACTGTTTTATACAGGCTTATGATAGAACCACTCGTTCATGTCATTTTTCCTATATGTAATCCTACCATGTTTAGTATCTATGAATTAGTCTTCTGATGATCTAAACGAGAGTGTATATTATATGTAGGTACATAGACAATATATTAGTGTCCTGAGAATATTCATATTTCCCCTTGAGCTGATTCGCTACATTGGTAAGAAAATCACTGACTTTTCTATAACACAATTTCAGAGGAAGGGACAATAGAAAAAATTATCACTCTATTCCATATATTAAGTAAAAAAACAGAATGTGCTGCTCCACTTCATGCACTTAAGAAGAAGGGTGCACCATGGAACTAGTCTGAAGAGTGCCAACATTCTTTAGAAGACTTGAAGGATGCCCTGAAGGCCCTGTTCTCATGCCCCCAGACTCAAGTAAACCATTCAAAGTACAGACTGATGCGAGTGACATCAGACTTGGGGCTGGGCTGACTCATGAGTCAGAGAGGGGAGAAGAAGTCATTGCCTATGCATCCCGGCTGCTTCAAAGAGAAGAAAAAATAATTTGCCATTTAAGAGAAAGAATGCCTTGCTGTGGTCTGGGCGGTCTGGGGAAAAGTGGCGACAATACCTGGAAGGGAGACTTTTTGAAGTCCTTACAGATTACGCCACACTCACTTGGGTTTACAACCATCCTCGCCCAACATCAAGACTTACTAGGTGGGCTATCAGACTCCAAGGTTTTGACTTTACTGCGAGGTACCGGAAAGGGAGATGTAATGTAGTGCCTGTTTCACTGTCCCTTGCAATGCTTGAATAAGAGGCACTGAGATGTGTTGCAGTATGCCAAGCAAAAGATGTGAATGGAGACTAACTGGGAAGAACATGGCCGACCAGAATGGTGATGAATCATTGCAGCATCTGTGGGATGAAGAGAAGTTTAACCCTATCGACCCCCAACGTATCCACTATGTTGTACAAAACAGCTTTCTGTTCAGATGTATTCCTGATGGTCAAAAGGGTCATACTTTGCAAGTGATCATCCCAAAGGATCTACGGCAGCAATTTCTCCAGTTTACACATGATAATCCTTTGAGCAGGCATCTTGGGCGCATGAAAACATTGCGTTGACTACTCAATGTCGTGTACCAATTGGCCAGAAATTCAGCACGATGTATTGGATTACTGCAAACAGTGCCAAGTCTGTCAGCAATACAATCCACGTATATCCAAACTAGTGTTGTCAAAAGACCCGGTACTTCGGTACCAAGTCGGTACTAAAAAAATTTAAACGTTACGGTACCAGGTTTTTTGAATTACCGGTGGTACCGAGTACCCGGTCAACCCGGTTCTTGATGCACTATCCGAAAGGTGCACAGATGTGGTAATTCCTGAGCAGCGTTTGTGAGCGCAGCTTATTTGATTACAGCCGTTACCGGGGAAACCTTGATCTCTACCACTCCAACAGCACCTCCTGCTGGCAGAGAATGAATTTGCATATATATGCCCCCACAAATAGAGTGCAAGTCTGTGGGAAACACCGCTTTTATACCGCTATTATGAATATTATTCAATATTTTAATTTGAATGTCGGATTGAAATGAACATCGCTGTTATTAGAGTAGTTAATCATTAGCCTAAGCGTGGCTAACGCTAATATAGTGAGCATTAGAATGAAGTTTCTTTATTAACTATTTAATGCTCCCATTTACTAATAACTTTTATTAGGTAAAAAAAAAAAAACAGGAGGACATGATGATATTTACTATTTTTACACACCAGAGGCTTTTAAATGAATTGTGAATCTAAAATATGCGTGTTAGAGAATGTACAAATGGTTAACATTGTTTGTGTCATATCAGTCAGAAAAGCAGTTCTGGGCTTTTTTTTTTTTTAGCTAACTTAGTTGTTATTCTTGGCTGAATAACTCTAGAAGGTGTTAAAAGCCCTTTAAAATTAAATATGTACACAGTTTGGATTAAATGAAAGTATAGTCAAATTTTTTAATTAGTTAGCATGTTTTTGTATTTTGCTTTGGTACCGAAATTGGTACAGAGAACCGTGGTTTTTCACTGGTATTGGTACAGAATACTGAAATTTTGGTACCGTGACAACACTAATCCAAACTTTCTGGAACCCTTCAATCTACTCCTGTAAAAGAACCTGGATATATATTGTTGGCACTGATCTTATGGGCCCAGTTTCCAAGGAGCATGAAGCTGAACAAGTATTTGCTGGTCACTGTGGATTACTGTAGCAAGTGGGTTTAGGTATTCCCTTCACGGTCAGCTAAGACACCTTTGATAACTAACATTCTTATCAAGGAGATCTTTACTTAATGGGGGGTACCCACATATTTGGTGTCAGACCGAGGACCACAATTTATGTCCAAACTTCTAAACGCTACCTGCAGACAACGGGGTGCAACTCAAAAACTCACCACTGCGTACCACCCGCAGACTAACCTGACGGAAAGGGTGAATAGAACTCTTAAGATCATTATTGCATCATATGTCAAGGACAATCACCCGAATCGGGACCAGTGGATCCAGTAAGATGTTACCTGACTTCTATGCTTAAAATAAGTGGTAATTTAACTCTCAGTCATATATATATATATATATACATATATATACTGTATATAAAGAACAAAAGCATTCAAGCTCAAGCAGAGCAAACGGAAAAAATAAAGCAGACCAGTACAGAACGTACATACACTCGAGTGGGCCTAGGTTTATCGTGTTTTTATTGTCTCACATCATGTTAATGTTGAGAAAAACAATAATATCCACATGAAAGTTGGCTCCTCAGTCTGATAACAGTAAGAATGCTCGCCGGCACAGATGTTCCAGAGACACAAAAATAACGGTGTGCTAAGCAAAGTTTCTTTCATCACTTTGTGTTTTCTGTTCTTAAACCTCAATATAATTTCGCTATCAGATAAGCTCTCTTCTCGGCTCACTCGGAGTACAGCTGCGCTTACCTGCAGTCATGAATGCAGTGATGGACAGCTGTCTTTCCTCAGTCGACTGACTGTTTGGATTTCATGTGATTTCTCATTGTGGTGGTGATATTATGATAACTCAGTTTCACCAATTCATTTGATCAAAAGTAATTCCATTTTGTAAGATCATTTTGAGTAATTCCAAACTTTGCGACATTCTGTGATCAAATACAATCAACTTGATAACACACTCCACAGCGCCACCCAGTGCTTTTAGTAATAACTGACTTTTAGTTTGAGTGCTTAGGACTGATCATGGATTCCCTGCATTTATGGCCAGCAAAGCAACACATGGTAAAATTTGAATTGTGTTTTTATTTTTCTAATAATAATTACAGATAGAATATTTGTGCACACCCCTAATCATTATCAGAGGTTTTATAGTGGGAATTTTACTTTGCTTGCTAGTTTGTTTTGTTTTGTCCTAAGGGTTTTTGTATCCACTTAATTTTTGAAGGCATCTCAACTGGTCAAAGTTTCTGATTTGTTATTCACTTTAACTTTGAAATTTCTTCTAAACATCTTTACGGACTACCATTTTGGATGATCTTGGATTTTATCCTTTTAACACCTGCAATGCTGTGATGAACCTTTGACATTTGTGGTAACTCAGGACTTTAATGTTGGTAGGACTTTTAAAAGGTTTTGCCTCCAAGTATGAAAAGATTGATAACACTGCTAAATGAAATATGGTCCAGACGTTTGTGATGCTTGAATTTGAAGTTGTATGCTCTTCTAAAAAGGGTATTAAAATATGTTATTCAATGGTGACTGAGCCCCCTTCATTTTCTTTATGTGACTTTTGATATTGGCAACTGTTACAGTGTATATAACTCAAATTTACTTATGATCTATTAAGCATTCACTAACATTACAGTGTAGTTCTTTATATTAGTCTGTATTAGTCAATGTGTCTTAAACCTGTGTTCTTCTGACTTCCTGTTAGTCCTGTAGTGTTGCTGCCTGGTGTTTGTGCTTGTCCCAGGCCAGATGGGAGTCCTGGATGTGGATACTGCTGAGAACTCATCTTCACGACCTCTCAAGTTATTCCTGAAAAATCAGAGGGTAAAAAGGACATAATGCAGCATGCAATAGAGAATGAATGCGTTTAAGAATAGAAATAAATGTGCTTAATTTAAACAAAAGACTACATCACATTGGCTGCAGGTTATTACTAGATATCTGAAATGCTCACAATAGAGAAATGGTGTACCAAACCAGTCAGTATCTTGTGTTCAGTTACCTTTCATGCAGTATGTTATAAACCCAAAAACAATTAACTATTAAGTTAAATAAAGCACAAAATAACCCGAAGTGAAGGTATTTTTTATAGGTAACGTTATATTCACAAATATAAAATAGCAATGTCCTTCTCTCAACAGTGTCATCTCAGTGAAATACGTTTACTAGGGTTAAATAACCTTTAATTTAACGACAAATACGAAATCAACATCACCTGATAGCAAAGTAAACGCATTTAAACTGGCTGTATTATTTCTGAACGCTGCTGATTGTAACATTGACGATTGTCAGGACACCAAATCGAGCAGCTTTTGTTCCTGGATGGGCTCGTGAGTTTAGGGTTCATCATGTAGATGTTAAACCACACGTGTAGTCTCATTTAAAATACAGACTAGTAAATACCCATAAACCTTTCTTTTATATGATAAAAGAATTAGTTTTATGAATCAAAACAGTCGCGGCTGCTAGTAGCCCAAAGATCTTATCAGTCATTTCAACGAGAAATTATCATTTCTCTCAGATACTCATTAACGGTCGTAATTCTGAAACTGTAGGAATGTGAATGCGACGAAAACGTTATCCTAGCAGCGTCGTTGTGTTTACAAATGCAAAATCGCAGATTTACCGTAAACACGACGCCTGCACTCTCCATCCGTTTCGTATCCCGGCAAATAGACAATTAGCATAAATGGTAATCTAGCTGCAGTAAGTCACTTCCTGTCTCGAATTTCAAAATAAAAGTCATCAAATCCGGATTCCACTTTATTCGAGTCCGTGAACATGACAAGGCGCTGACATATTCCTGAGAAGAACTATCCACACGTGGCCTTCACGCAGTATATATCACACCACGCTACTTATAACAACCCTAAACATTTTCACGGTACACTCCTCCAATTTATGTCATAGTTATGTAGATGTTATTGGTCTGTATTTAGGTCATTCCAATAATTTGGTGCCTTTCTCCACTGCAAGTGATGGCATTTATATTATTAAATTTGAACCGGTTACAACCAGGGACACATTATCTATCGATTGAAAAGCAAAAATTATACACAAGTTTATACTATTTAAGTCTATTAGGCTATTATATGTTCATAACAGGCTTGAAAATGTGTCAGTCATGCTTAAAATGTTGCTATAAATAATGAGCTTGAGATGTATGACTTTTCCTTTCATCCCGAAAGGCAAGTAATTGTAGGCATGACATATAAAAAGTAAATTTATAAACACACATACTGATATAAACTAAACCGAGAACAAGCTTTAATGGTTCCACAATTTAAGCCTTCAGTGTATGGTGGTCTTTATAATACACATTGTTACATATTCACATAAATACTGTAAATGACCCCATTCCCCTTGATATGGATATGCTACTTTTTATAGTAGAGAAGCAAACACAGTGAAGAGACCTACTAGAAGTTTTCAGATTGCACCTCATGCTATAATGTTTTGTAATATGTGGATTTATTATGAGCATCTTCTGTATTTGCAATAGTCCTGAGGATAGCTGATAAATGTATAGGGTTGTGAGTGTTGTATGCATATTCCTGCAAGTGATTATTCAAGTGTTAATCATGCAAAAAACAGATCACTGCAATTTACCCATGATGTAACATACATCTGCCACAAACGTTTCACTGAAAACATTGTTTACTTTATAACCATACATTATTCAGAATCAAAAGGGTAACTGGCAATCGACAATGAAGAATAACATGTCAAGCAGGTATGCTTTTAAAAAAGCAGTGTCATCAGACAATACGTATCTGACACAAATACATTTTCACTTGTATAATACTTCAGGTGAACAGAAGACTCTTTTTCCAATTGCACCATTGGAATACAGACAAAAAAGTCCCCCCTTCAATCTGTGTGCATATTCTCTCAAGTGATCGAATAATCAATATGACTTCAATAGATGCATTTAAAAACATTGACAAAAATCTGTACATTTTTGCAAGTCAATATTATGTAAAAAAAGAAAATAATCATAAATATAGTTATCAGATCATTACAAAGCACTGAAGTGACCAGAAAAAGTGCACAGTTACTTAAATAAACTACAAAAAGAACTGTAAATGCGTAACAAATTGACTTCATGTTGCTGACCATCAAGTAACAGAATAATGCACAAGACCTTCTCAGATCACACATGCAGAATGGTTCTCTCGTAACGTGTTTTCTCCGGACAGGTATTAAACGGTGTTTAAAGGGCCTGGAATGTCAATTTCAGGCATATTAATGTTGACAGATCATTCGTGGTCATCCAAAAACCAACAAGAGACTCACAAACAATTATAATTAAAAACATGATATTTTAAAAAGGCACTACAAAGGCAGATAGCTTTTCCCCTTTAGTCGATCCGAGGGAGCATCTATCACCAAAGCTTGAGAGTATTACTTTATTCAACACATGGGGCTACAAAGCTATGCAGACACAAACAGTATGCTGATAAGGATTGATCTAGTTGGGCTCTTTCCACGCCACCAAGCTGTGCTGAGTGGTTGATGTACGTGGAGCAGAAGAGTGACAGGGTATAGAGGGGACACAGTCTTTCAGTCATCGCCCCTGCATAAAGGCCCGAGTGAAGGATCCTTTCCACCAGTGTTACAGCTTTGGTGCAAAACCAGTCTTGAAATGTACCTACTTGTAATACGGTATCTCTTCCACGGTTCCTATGCGAGATCCTGTCCATTTTGGACAGTATTGTGCCAACAGTTTGTTTTTTAGTGCAATGTGCAGTGCTGTTATTAGATAAACCCTGAATACCGCCCCTTTAAGCCCCTGGTTCTGTTGTTTGCTTATTTCTATTACAGTATAAAGTTTTTTTTTGTTTGCTCGTTTTGTTTTTGTTTGTTCCTGTGCATTTGTATGTTGCTTTCAATACCTTTCCCTCTGCCCCCAGTCAGTTTGAACAGTCTCACACTCTTGAAAATCACGGCCGAGCAGCTTCCTTGTGTCATGTGGATGTGGCTTCCAGGTAGCTCTGGAGTTTACGTACAGTTGACTCATCCAAGGAGAACAGGTCAAAGTCAAAGGTTGTATTGGTGATGTTGAAATGCCCAGTCTTCTCAATGAGGTTCACAATCTAAAAAAAAAACAACACAAATGCATATGTCAACCAAAAAGCAGCAAACATCACTCCTGAAAGCTGACAAAAGCGTCATGAACCACACACATATCAGATGTTCTACAGTGAGAGACACTACCTGAAATTCATAAGAATGCATTCAATTGATCTTAAGTGAAAGTAAAGACATTTACATTGCTTCAAAACCTTTCTATTTCAAACGAATGCCGTTATTTTAAACGTTCTACTCATCTGTGAATCCTGAAAAACAATTATCACGGTTTTCAACAAAAATATTATAATGATTCCTGAAGGATCATACTGAAGACTGGAGTAATGGTTTTTGCTTTGTCATCAAAAGAATAAATTACATTTTAAAATATATTAAAATAGAAAACAGATATTTTGAATTATAATAAAATTTCACAAGATTTCTATTTTTGCTGCGTTTCTGATCACATAAATGCAGCCTTGGTGAACATAAGGTAACAAACTTTTTTTTTTGTGCTAATTACAAACATTTCCCTAATTTAAGAATCACTTAAAATACACCCAAATAAAGAAAAGTTATTTTTACCTGCTGTAAAATGTTCCTCTCTCTCAAAGCCATCAGCCTGCGATGAAGGTCCACAAGCTCCTCTGTATAAGCCTGTAATCAGATCACTCATTTAAAACCTCCATTGTACAGTAGTCAATATTTAAAGTGAACCTAAAAGGTTCATCAAAGTTGTCCTAAGACAAGAATGCATTTTGATCCACTTCAAATGTTGACTAGTGTAGTTTTATGTGCAATAAAATTCTGTATTTTAGCCACGGATGAGTATGATTCAGTTATTTACCCTTCCTACCTTGTCGTATCCCCTCTTGAGCACCTTCTCACGGGTGCAAGAATCTGGGCTCTTTTTTCCTAACATCTGACAAAGGATACAAACTATTTAAAATCAAATTCAAATATAAACCTGATCCACTGTAAAAATGATTTTTTTTTTAGATTATTAGAACATATTTTACACAAAAATACTATTCCAGTCTTTCTTATTTAAAATTTTATTTTCAATTCCATGTGTTACTTGCCATTTCTTTGTAATTATTTGTGAAATTTACTAGCAATTTCCAAGTGAAAATTGTTTCAAAGTAAATCTTGCACCAATTTATTTTCAGTGTATAAACCGGTCCAAAGTTTCATTGCAATGCAATGCCAATCTTACCTTTAGGTTTGCTGAGCTGAGTTTGGGTAGAGGTGAGGGGGCTTCCTGGCTGGGAGGACGGGACTCCTCATTGACATCACTCTCACTGTCCATGCTTAAACTGGAAACATGAAAATGAACTTGTGAAGGGAATATAAACTGGATTCAGTACAACAAGACTATGGTAATATTAATGTGCAGAAATTTGTCTTGATTTTCATGTTTTTCTTTTTAAGAAAATTGAATTGAAATTCAAACAAGACCAAATTAGATCAAATACAAAGTCCTTGGCACAGACCGAGAGTCCTGGTTCGGTGGAGTCGCCTTCATGGGCGTCTCAACCTCAGAACTGCTGTCATCATCAAAAGAATAAATTACATTTTAAAATATATTAAAATAGAAAACAGATATTTTGAATTATAATAAAATTTCACAAGATTTCTATTTTTGCTGCGTTTCTGATCACATAAATGCAGCCTTGGTGAACATAAGAGAATTCTTTCAAAAACATAAAAAAAACTTTTGAACAGTAGTGTACGTTAATACTTTTTTAAGTCCTGAAAAAAGGATCTGATGAAGACATTGATCAATATTCAAATGGGATTTGGCATAATGCATGATAATGGCATTTTTCAGGTTTTGGATATATATA